CACACACACACACTTGAAATACTTCATGAGTACCGTAAACATGAGATAAATTATGTTCACAAAGGATGTAAAACATATAACATTGGTCATCTCCTTCAAACACTGACACACGCAGAATGAACTGATGCCAGGTCAGTTTGTCGGGGAGGCATTGCTCAATGTAAAGATCAGCAGAGCAAAGCTATTTCTGTTGAGAAAAACTGACATGAGCAGTGTTGGGAATACTGAGGAAAAAATTTCTTGAGTGATCAGAAACCATTTTTATGTCACAGACCAACAAACACCTTTATACACTTAGATATATCACATACAGACACAGTATATAAGGGAAGGAAGGAAAAGAAGATAGAAGAAAAAAAATTGTCTGTCTGTTCCAGCTCAGCAATCAGGACTCCCAGCCTCTCGGTACTCTGGCTTACCAAATTGACAATTTTCTCAGTGTTATCCACAAAGACGCGAGGTGAATATATAGGCCTGAAGAGATGGCTCTCTGGACAAATAAACAGGTATTTATGCCCACACATACAAATAGAGTATGCACATACATGCACACAAACAGCAGTGAACCGCTGAAAAAAGTGGTTTTTGAGAGTGAAATAAAGACAGACAGAACAAATGTCTCCAAGGAAATGACAGGACTTTCCTCTCCTTCCTGCCTCTGTATCATTAGCACTGTGTGAACGTCTTCCTCAAGCACCCAGAGCAACAACTGCACTTCAGTGTGGTAGGCAAACTGCTCTGCGTCAGACTGTAAACCGCTCCAGCAGGTGGTGAAAACTGCCCAACGGATCACCGGCACCCAGTTACCCACCATCGAGAACATTTATCGCAAGCGCTGCCTGGGCAGGACAACAAACCTCCAAGGATGCGTCCCACCCTACAGTTACAGTATGTTCTCGCACCAGCAGGCTCAGGAAGAGCTTCTTCGCTGAACCCCACACCTTCACTCTAATAGCACCTTTGCACCCATACTGCACTGCTCACAGTACTTTAACATACAGTAGCTCACAAAAGTGAGTACACCCCTCACATTTTTGTAAATATTTGATTATATCTTTTCATGTGACAATACTGAAGAAATTACACTTTGCTACTATGTAAAATAGTGAGCGTTCAGCTTGTATAATGGTGGGGTCTTGCAGCAACCATTCTTTTTCAGATCCTCAGAGAGTTCTTTGCCAGTATGAGGGAGCATGAGAGCGATAACACCAAATTTAACACACCTGCTCCCCATTAACACCTGAGACCTTGTAACACTAACGAGTCGCATGACACCGGGAAAGGAAAATGGCTAATTGGGCCCAATTTGGACATTTTTGGGTGTACTCACTTTTGCTGCCAGTGGTTTAGACATTAATGGCTGTGTGATGTTTTATTTTGAGGGGACAGCAACTTTACACTGTTATACAAGCTGTTCACTCACTACTTTAAATTGTAGCAAAGTGTTATTTCTTCAGTGTTGTCACATGAAAAAATATAATCAAATATTTACAAAAATGTGGAGTGTACTCACTTTTGTGAGATACTGTATACATTATATGCACTAGTCATATTTTTGCAGACTGAACCCCTACACTTTTTAATAATGTTACTGTACATGTTATATGTATAAACCACTATATTTCTGCACTTCTGGTTAGATGCTAACTGCATCTGTACTCTGCATAATGATAATAAAGTTGAATCTAATCTAATTGTTCAGCCATGAGGCTCCACATTATAGGTAAATAAATGAATGCCGGTACAAAATACATTTAAATGATTTTGTATAACAAACAGCTTTTTGACTGTATACTGAAGAAGCTAAAGCCAGGATGATGAAGTGTTAGTGTGTGAGAGAGGTTAAAAAGGAAAAAAAGGCAAGAGGGTGGAGAGACTGGAAGCTGAAAAAGAGGAGCTGTTACTCCCTCTAGTGGTTCACCTCTTGCATGGTTCAGTGTAAAATGTCTCACACCAGGGTGAATTCACAATCCTCTTGATCTCATTGATTCAAATCACTATGCAAGTCCCATTTACGTGAAATGTAATGTCCAGAAATAAAACATGATTAACTTTCTTAATGATATTCAGCTACACAAGTTAAACAAAATGAAGAAGCAGTTGGGACCCAAACACTTTAAAATCCTTTGAGATTGAATGAAATGACTTGAGGGGCACATGATGACTACTAGTCCAGCTCCATTTGCTGGAGAATACTGTGTGATGCATTTGAAAGTGCCAATACGCCAGCGAGCAGACCTTTGAGTTTGGATTATTTTGTTAGATGTAGGCCTACTGTAATCAAAAGTCAAGAAATACCTTCTGTGCAAAAATCACAAGGGTTATTCTCTCAGACTCAAGAGGCTGAGTAGAACTTGTAAATGAACATCTTTAATTACCCAATCTACAATAAACTCCAGTGCCTTTTAGGAAAAAAGAAAGGAAGAAAGCCCTGAAGGCAAACTTCTCCCACATGTGATTGCAGGGTTTAGTTCTGACATTTAGTCCCAGTATTTTTTTTAGCTTGACCCGCACTAGGGACTGAAGGACTGGATATGTCGGCCCCAACTTTATATAAGTGTGACAGTACAATTCTTGAGTACCCCATTTAGTAATTACTTTTAATACAATTAATTTATTAATAATTAATAAAGGGAAATCTTTAAAGCTTTGGAGATAATCTTTACAGCTCAGATGAGGGGAACACCAAAAGTAAAACTAATGTTCAATTCAGTGCATAGTACATGGTTTAATGTAGCTTAATTAATATTGTAAAAGAAAACAATTTAATATTTACTAGAGATTCATCTGGAAAGTGTACTTTGAAATGATTATTTTATTGGAGATCTTGCCTGTAGGTGGCAATAAGTTCAAGCAAATTCATATCAAGCAGAAAGTCAAACACACACTGATAACAAAACATTTTATTAAACAAGAAGCGGGATGGTTTGTTTCCCTATATTCTATACATTATGTGCTATACAATGTAGAGGACAGACAGACAGACAGGGCAGGAGTGCTGACCCAGGTTCAGTTTGCTCCAATAAATCTTTCTTGTCACACACGTGCACGGAGGGACTCATTGTCAGAAGCAGTTAACTGGTCTAGTGACCATAAGCAGCACCGATTTTTCATTGAATTAAAATCAAAGACAAAAATCGAACATGGACCATCACTGCGCATATGTTAATGAGAATAATTAGAAGTAAATTAGTTTTTTTTAATGAACAGCACTACTTGAGACAACTCAAACTCAATTTATAACTCAAAATAAACTAATAAAAATGAGTTTTGGGGACCACACTGACCAACAACACTGGAGAGTTGTGGAAAGCTAATAATTTAGATTTTGATGTAGGTTTATTTACCAAGTTTAAAGTACATTAACCACATCCTTTAAACATGCCTGTGTGATGTCTGTTAATTGTATGTTTTTGCTTTTAGAAACATGCTCCCTGACCCAGGATCAGAGCTCCTGCAAGGTGAGATCAATGCTCACGGCTGTTCATACGGAAACGATTGTATACCTTGATGATTAAAATGCTACTTGACTTTCGAAATCTTAACAAGCATCTAGGCAAAAGGCATTTTTACTGTGTACTACAAAAGAAATCCAGCAAATAGTCGTGTCCTACCACAGCAATTAAGACAGAGATGATTATGCTTTTTTGATCTTAAGGTCTAATTTTCACTTCACAGGGTTGATTAGAAGTATAATTTGGAGCTGTCACAGACTTGTCTCAGACGGATGAAAGGTTGGACAGATATTTTTGGGTTTGGGTCAGGGTGACATTTTTCAGTCTGTGGTCAAAGGACTGCATACTGACTGTTTCTCCTCATCCATTTAAAATTCAAAAATGATTTTTATGGTACTAAACAGACCGTCTGAGTGAATCCAATTAATGAAAAGTGAACAATTTGGGGAGATGATCAGCAGCAACGATGCTACTTCACTGAACCAATTCCCCCTGGATACTGACAGCATCTTCATCTCATATGCACATGGGGCAAACCTCACTTACTTACACTACTAACAACACACTCTTCTGTATAACGTCGGAATAGACTTTTTTCAGAAAATAAACTGCCCAAGGTGACCATATAACCATTAAATTCGTAACACATGGACTTTAATTTAGAAATATTTACATTTTTTTTTAAAGAAAGTGAAACATTCTGAACATGTATAGTTCCTTTTGTTTATGCAAGGACAAGAAGTGAGGTTGTTGTGGTTGTTGAGAGGAGTGTTTCTTTGACATGAGCCATCTCTCATACAGACAGAAAAGCACCATCTGTAAACTAAGCAGGGAAACAGAGGGAAAGCACACTTAAATACAAACTCAACTCTTGATAACACTCTTTACATCAGTCGGTTCTCAGTCAAGGCAAAGCCAGGTGCTCTTTTGTTTTCTTTTGCCACACCGATGTAATGGAAAAAAACAACTACTAACATCAGATTAAAATATAAGGTGTAAACAATCAACAAAGGATTTTTTTTTTGTCTGTATGAGCCATGTTTGAATTCACATCACTGGAGTGTGTGTGTTGTGATTAGACAGCTGATCCGACACACTACAATAAAACCCTGGATTTGAAGGAGGACCGAGTGGAGAACTAGGGTTAGACCAATATACTGGTGTGCCAATAATGACTGATAAATATTAAATCTTCAATATGTTGACGGCCCCTGTCATACAGATTCAGTGCCTTGTACTGTAAATGCAGTTCTTTACCCACCTTAAAGAACAAATCTCCAGCAGAAACACCGTCTCTTATGGAATGAAATCAAATTTAATCAACAACTGCTACCAATACAAAAATTTAAAAAAATCTCAATATCAGACCCATATCGGTTGAACCCTAGCCAGAAGATGCAAAGCCACAGTTGTTGACGTGTAGAGATGCATATATATATATATATATATATATATATATATATATATATATATATATATATATATATATATATATATATATATATATATATATATATATATATATATATATATATATATATATATATATATATATATATATATATATATATACATACACACACACGTACATACATTTTTGCATAAACACTATGTACAGACATTGTGTGTTGGGACTAGATTTGGCAACCACGCTGAGAAAAGAGGTTTTGTTTTTCCTCATTAATAAGGCATGCCCTGTAAAGGGGCCCTGTCAGACTCGGGGAGATCAGTCTGACGGCAGCTTTTGTTTGCCTCCTCACACTCGGCCGGACAGTTTCCCCAAATTTACCTCACGCTTTTCGTAGATGTCGCCAACGATGAGATCTGAAGGTTTGAACTGACTGGACTTTATTCCATTGCGAGCCCACTCAGCCAACTTCACTGGAGCCGTCTGCTGTGATGTCATCACTTGGCGACCGCCGCTGCCGTGATACCGCAATGTTCAGAAAAGCGCTGGACCGCTCCTCCAAGGCATGACATCATCTCAATGTAAAGCACTTTAAAGTCTGCTGGCCCGGCCCGTCTCTGTGATGTCACAACTGCCCACTGTGATGTCATACCCCATGCTCCAATGACTGGAAGCCTCGTCTGGCGATGCCATCGTCGTCATGTCAGATGTTTGACAGCCGTCGCCCTCGGTTGGCGCCTAGTGAGGCGCGTAGCCTCGGCTCTCTGGCCCTGTAGACGAATTTGCGAGAAAACATTGGCATTTGAGTTAATTAGTTTTACTGACGAACAAACTTAAATTACAACTAAAACATCTGTGATTTAATCCAGTATTCTTCAGCACATCTGGAGTGAAGCTTCAATTGTGTTTGAAATTTTGGTATAGCACAAAGACAGAGATCATTTGTATTTTATAAACAACCTTTTGGGATAATACATTTAGGACAGGGATATAACAGGGATTTCTGTGACCTCAAGGAAGGTGCGTATTTCCTGTGCAGACTGAGCTTTAAAAGGGCAAACCTGTAGTGTTCATTGAAGTCCAGTCTGAAGCTGAGGAAACGTAGGCTCTCATCCGGACTTGTCATCAGCAACACCAGGAACTGCTGGACGATGCTCTGAGAGAAGGAGAGGGAGGCGTGGAAGGACGAATAGGTAAAAAGAGGACGTGAAAAAAGTGAAGGCACTGTAAAACAGCTGGGTGTGCCAAATGCAAATGATTGACAGCTGCTCCTGGAGGCAGCTCAGGCTGGTACCTGGTAGAAGTGGGTGAGGATGCGGAGCTGGGAGCGCATCTTTGGTATGGTTTCCTGGAACTCCTGAACCCTCTTCTTCTCCTCCGCTTCCTGTTCGGCCGTCACTCCCCACTGACCCTGAATCAGCAGACAGACGCAAATTAAGAAAGGACAGTAGCACACATTCAAGTACCATTATGTTCACATCATCCCGCCTTCTTTCTATTTGTATTTAGGGCATCTCCTCCTCTTCCTACCTCTTCCTCTCTCCGTTGCTTCTTCTCCTCGTACTGCAGTCGGAGGGCGAGTTCCTCCAGTGCCGAGCGGTAGAGTGAGTCCTGGGCATTCTGGAACTCGATGATCTGGTCAAATATGGCCCTCAGCTGGTTCAAAAGAGACTGGACGGACAGAGAGAGGCAGAGTTCAAGAAAGTGTGTGTGGACAAGGGGAGGCAGAAAAATCTGCCAAATAATTAAATGACATAGTGTGAGTGTGTTTTACCCTGCTGTTATTGTCCAGCAGGCATCTTGAGATGATGGTGTCAAGGAAGACGTCATGTGCAGCGATGATGTGGTCAAGGTCCTGAGCCTGCTGCACTTTGTTCCACAGCTCATCCCAGGAGCACTCCAGCACCTACACACACACACACACACACACACTTTACCAAGAGTATATGGGAATGACATTTGTCTTTTATTAAAAATCAGATATCATACAGTCTGTGTGGCGGTGGTGCCACCCTGTTTCCATCAATATGTTTTCCTTATAAGTCTCATAATTATTTGATCAGATATCTGAGTAGAGAAATCTTTTATTTACTGACTTTACTCAACAGTAAAACCTGCAGTTAAATCAGCCTCAGTCTCCTTTAAAAGAGATGCTAACGCGTCTAAAAGTCTGACTTTCAGAATTCTTTTAGTCGCACTGACTTTTATTGCAGCTGGTCCGGACATGAGTTTTTCTCAACGTACTATCAGTGTTGCATTTAGCAGACACAGCAGAACGGCTGTAATTACTTCTTTTTGCTGATGTTTACAGCCTGCGATAGTAACAGCTCTGCTAATGGTCTGACCTCAAAGGTGATGTAGTACTGCATTTGGTGGATGAAGTGGACCATCTCAGAGGCCAGGATGTGACACTGATGCAGCACACCGGACAACTCTGGAAGGTGAAAAGCGTAAATATAACAACAGGCTGCAGGTAAAAATAATCTATACAAACAAAGTTTTACCCTTTTAAGAAACAACAACAACAAAAATGGTAACAGATGTGTGTGTGTTTAAGTACCAGGCATGGTTTTGAGCAACTTGGCATTACACATCTGTCCCTTCCAGATGTCAGTCAGTGTGTACTCCATCCTCTTTGCCCTCCAAAGGAAATTAAACACACGCAGGTAGTGGCCCATGCACTCCCTGGTAAACACCTGAAAACACACAAATAAATACAGTAGATTTATGTCTGACAAGAGCAGCAACATATGGATGTTGAACAGACTGCCACAATTGTCCTGCAGAGATTGAAACATACACAATATGTTGGGAACTGTATTGAAAGTGTGTGTGTGGGGTACCGTAGCAATGGGTCCGTCCACGTGGTAGTCCAGACTGAAAACATCCCAGCCTGTATCACCAGGAGACACCTGGAGCCAACAAAAGACAGATGCCAACAGGGTAAGGACACGCTGAAGTCAGTCATGCCCCCCCCCACCACACACACACACACACACACACACACACACACACACACACACACACACACAAACACTCTACCTCTAGCAGGCGTACGTCCAGCCTCTTTAGAATCTCTGCATTGTCATACTGGGCGTTTGTGGCTCTGACTGCCGTCTCTAAGATACCCGTCAGGTTGTGTTGGTACAAAGTGGTGGCAGGACGCACCAACTCCGGCCTGGGATAAAATAATTTCAAAACAATAACATGAAACTACATTTTGTGTAATATTCTAATACAGTAGCAGATTTCTCATTTGTTATAAATGAAAAAATATATTAAAAGTATGTGATGCTAACTTGAGCAGGTCCATGAGATGTCTGATGAAGTCCCCCTGGCCCAGCAGCAGGTATCTCCTCATGGCCTGCAGATGCTCCAGGAGCAGGTAGTTGCGATTCAGAACGTCCAGCAGGTATTTGCTGGTATCAAAATAGGCAGCGTCGATCTTCTCCTGAAACTCCCCCTCTAGGTCGGACAGCAGCTCTGCAGCTGTGCGGAGAAAGAGAAGAAAAGGGTATTAGCAGGGTTAGGGTTTGTCAGTTATATTTTTTGTACCATAAATAATTAGCATTGACTAAATATTGGAAACCCCATGTTTACCTATCCTTCATTTTGTATAGCTGCTTTGTGCATATGTTGCATCACTTATTTTGGCAGTTTTTACAGAAAAAACAAGCATTCAGTACTTTCTATGATATTATATTATGTGCTGTGCTATAAGTTCAATAACTAGACAACAAAAGTAATGTATTTCCTATTTACGCGTGGGTGAACAAAAAAAAATGGAAAAGAAAAGACAGGCAAAGTGCTAAACGTCTGATGCAAATACAAGATATAAGAGCGTGATGCCCTTCAACAGATACAGTAAAAGCTGCAGATCTAACTGGTCAGATAAAGTCCTACAAACTCAATCAATAGAACATGGCTAAGAATACTTAGAGGAGGACAAGGCCAGTGAGCGGTAAGAGCATCGATCATTGCCAGTCCATCGGCCTACGTCAATGTAACAATATCAATACAATGAGGACGAAACTAAATAAGGGGCTTCTTATTGGGCAATGATGTTGTTACTGCGCTTGAGTCAAAAATAACACTTAAGAAGAAAACAATAAAGAGCACCAATGAAGCCAGCAATAGCATCAACACGTTACACGTTCAGCATACTCTAGTGTTCTTCTTAATGTTATTTGTACTTTGACTTATATTTTCTAAAGATAAATGTGCAAACAAACAGTTCCAATCCTAATTATCTTCAGAAACCACACACAGATATAAACGTGCTGTGAAACTGTTATACTAAACACAGGAGTGAGAGACTGAGGCTCCTACCGTCTTTGGGTGTGTCTGCCGACTTGGATGCTGCCGTGATTTTGCCCGGCGGCGTTCTGTCGTGACAAACCTGATGCAGGAAGTTGATGGATTTACCAATCAGCAGAACCTGGAGGAGAGAGAGAGAGGGGTAATGAGTTGATATGACTTGAGGTAAACACGGCGCCTGGAGATAACAGATGCGTCATAGTGTGTGTATGTCTGTGTACCTTGCGGGCCTGGTCCATGGTGATGAATGAGGGGATCATTGACTTCCTGAGGGAGTACTTGTCGTGCCACAGGCGGTCTGTCTTCACGTTGGGGTCTGATGCTACAAAGAACTAAAACAAACAAACACACACACACACACACACACTGGAAAGTTCAGGTGCGGTGACTGGGGTCTATATTGGAGATGCTGAATAATTGTAATTTAATTTTAATTTATATACTGTTGATTTGATTGTCCTGAGCCTGAATGGATTCAGATGAAACTTTTGAAGAGAGGAAAGTTAAGACTCAAACAGAATAAGTAGCACTATGGACAGAGTGTCACATTCGATTAGATTGCCCGTTTACTTCAGGAGATTGATACAGTAGCTTCAGATACCTTTCTAATGCTGAAGGCTGCATACTCGCTGCGCGCCGATACATTTTTGAACCGACTCCAACTGTCAGCTTCACTATGAATCCATCACTACCAAGCACTTTCCCCACAACCTATTAGCTGATATAAGAGACGGCAGAGAACGCTACTGTCAACACCTCAAACCTGCGTTTTAAATTTCAGTTACTATACAAGTTTCAGGTCGTAGTAAAAGTACTAACAGTAACAGCCAACAACAGTGTAAGTGGGAAAAGCAGCAGTCACAGTATAAATGAGCTGATGTGGTTAAAATTAAATATTAATAAGAATATTTTCCCTAAATTAATCCCAAAATGGCACATGCATAACAATTTTTAGATTATAATTTGCTTGCTAAATCAAGTCAAATTCCTTTATGCAGTGTTTCCTCTATATGCAGAATCACGACCGCCACTAGTAAAATTTCCCACGATCATTAAACTATGCGCTACAAATGTTTGCACTACGGCAGCACTCAATGCTCGGCTCGCTTCCTCTCCTCGTTCTATGCAGAACATACGTGAGAGATGGTGTTATAAAAGCAGCCTAACTCTGAATCAGGAGGTGCGTAGCGAGTGTTTGACTGTCCAAGCGGCAGAAAGTGAGAGGAAAATATTCTGGCAGTCAATTTGTCGTGCCGAAAAGTGATGTTTGGTAGGCCTGTGTGTAATATCTTTGTTTATATTTGGAAAACGGGCTGTAATTAACATGACTCACTGCCAACTTACATATAAAATGAAGACAATTTTGCAATTATCCTTATGACTCTACATTATTTTACTTGCTGTGTAGGCCTACTAACCAATCCACTCTTTTTTACCTGTTAAAATACCTTTAAATGGCCAATACAACTCATAAAATGCAGTATTTCACTTGCCAGAAAATTACTGAAGCCTTTTGTCATTGACTGAAAGGTTATTTCTGCCCTGAAATTAGTTGATTTCATTCAGAAGAGTTATATTTGACAGATTATAGCTCACCTAGTACTTTTTACATCTTAAAATATCTTTAAATGGCCAATAAAACCCATAAAATGCTGTAGGCTATTTCACTTGCCAGAAAGTGATTGAAGAGACTGTGCAATACAGCTCCAGCAGACGGCAATAAGTTTTTGGCAGAGGATCACTTTTCGGCACGACACCTGTCAGCGCTAAGCAGCTACATAGCTGCTATGTAACTTAACATTAGCTCAATTTATAGAAAGTAACTGGAAGCTGTATTTTATTACTGCCTACATGTCCAATGTTGAGAACACCAGGGACAAACTTAGAGTAAACTGGTATAGCCTACAGCTCTGTCCTGTACAGACTGGTTCATCCTAAATTATTTTTCAGGTTTCAGATGAGTCTGAAAAAGTGGTTGTTAGGAAAAGAAAGTATGGTGGTGACTGGAGGAGCTGAGGTTAGTAAAGCAAATTAGTGATGCAAACTAGTCCTTTTAAGCTAATGAGGAGACGTTTCTTTTTGGATTTTAATGTGCAAATAAAATGCACCTCAGAAGGGAGGAGGTTTCTCATGTTGCCTATTTTTTATAATTAATGTCTAAAGATAAATGTCAAAAGCTGTAAAATGAAGACACAAAAGGCAAACATGAACAGTCGTATCTATAATGATTCTGAGGTCATATTAACAGAGTTTTCCCGCCGTTAAGGCTTAGAGGTGATGCCTAAAACATGCTGTGCCATCAGTGTAAAATCACTGTGGAGCAACAGAACCAACCAAATTACTTTCTCCAGATCTAAAGGTTGTAGTTCCTCCCCAGTAGACTGGGTGTTGTTTATTTATTATCTGCTCTAGCTTTTCCAAATATTTGTTCAGAGATATGGTGAAAATAATGGCCAATATGATATGGAATTACATATTTTTCATTGGAAAACATAAAATTGTCTAGGGGGAGGACCCCCAAACCCCCCAACCAACACCAAAACTTTCATCTAATTTTGCTTCACCTCTGCTGCTACAACTCCATCCTAGGGGAAACACTGCTTTATGACCTGCTTGGTTAATGAAATTAGTTTCTAACATGTTTAATTTTTCTCAAGAAAATGGAAAAGGTATCCTTATGCGTAATCTGATCTTTTTTTAGAATGGTATGTGAATAGAATAGGTGCTGTGTCCAAAACCTTCCGATTGGCTGTGCGGAGGTTAGAAAGATGCCAGGTTTTTGACTCCTTTTTTGCGCTCTTTTTTTTTTTTTTTTTTTTTACACAATTCCTGCCATTTTTCATGTGAACAACTGAGTGCACTATGAATCTCTCCCACGAGAGAAAATGTCTGAAAATGTGCGGCGTTCTCCCTGTATTTAAACAATACAGAGTCTCCTCCCTCTCTGTGACAGCTGGCTTTTCACTCCGCTTTCCAAGTGTGGCCGTTCTGAACTACCATGAACACTTTTGATTCTCACTCACAAACGGGGTTCATTAATAAAGGTGCACACTGTCAAATGTGTTTTAAGAGAAGAAAATATATTTTCCTCATATGCAAACAGCCATTTGAAGCTACAAATACACTACAAGAGTGTCACTTGCTTTTTCAGACTAGCACACAGTTACTGCTGTGTCATGGCACTATCTAAAAAAATTTCACACTTACTCCATAATTATGGGTGTTTTTATTCATTTCCCTCCTGAAAGGTGCAATAACAGTGTCCCGGTGTTCTTAAACACAGCACTTAAGACCAGACTCTGGGGATGACTAATGGTTAATGCTGGACACATAAATACTGCGAGTAAGAGAGAAACAGAAAGAGAGGAAGGGCAGGGAGGAGTAAAGGAGAAACATCCATCACGGAGCTCTCCATTACACTCCTCTCATCAGTCCTCATTTAAGAGGCTGTCCTGCCTCTCTTCTCTTCATCTCCCTCCTCCTCTCAGTAATGTTCTTTCTCATTGGGGTCAAACATCAGAGCGGTTAAACAATGACCAGTAAATTCCTGCTGGACCTCTGGGAATGGAGGCATTTCTTTTGTCAAGCTTTTGGACACATTCAGGGCCGATTATAACCACAGATTTCCTCATCTGACTCCACCAATGCTATACAGGTGACCGTTGTGTGTGAGGATTTTCAAGATCAACTCAACAAAACTAATGTGGATGGAAAAGATCAACAAAGACGAGTGTGTGCACCTCGTGGTAGGTATCTTCCAGCTCTCCATCATAGATCCACCTATACAGGAAGTTGAGGATGGGGTGTGACACCAGGCTGAGGATGTGTTGAACCAGCGCTCTCATCTGTGGGTCTCCTGTTTTCCCATAAGAATGGACCGCCGAGGCCAGCTCACCTCCTTTACGACCTGACACAGACAAACAGAATGACTCAAACAATGTAGGGACGTCCTATTCACCCAACAGTACACCGCTACAAAACCAAATACAGCACACACACACACACCCCCACACACCTAATCACACCCCCAACCCACCTTGGCAGAAGTCAACAAGAGCAGCCAGTGTTTTGAGACGGACTTTGGGGTCGTACATCCAGACCAGCAGCCTTCTGAGAGTCAGACTGCTCTCTGTGCACACGTTCACACCCTGCTCATCCTCCACCTGCAACTACAACACACACAACACACACAAGTAGGTCTTGAGGAAATCATTTTATTTGACTGAATCTTCCTCCACACTTGAAGTGATGTGTTGTTTAGGAGTGGGAAAGTGAGTTTTGTTTCAATAACAATGTCACTATCCATTTGATCTTTTCTGTCACTTATAAACATCATCTCTCTGTATGCATTGACCTGCCAAGCACTGCTTGATCCCTGTACCTGGGAGTGGAGGACAGACAGCAACCTGTAGTACTCCTTCAGCTCCTGGTGGAGCGAGGCACAGAAGCTCTGAGGGGAGGAGAAGGGATTGAAAAATATGTGTTAGCGGAGGATCCTCATAAGATAATGGATGCATACGTCAATCACAGACGCACCTGTCCGACCAGTCCGAAGGCCCGGTCGAGGCTCCTGGCGTCGGTGTACTTCCTGACTTTGTTGTGGAGCCAGCCGAGCTCGGCCAGTCTGCTGCTGGTGTCTCTCAGGGACTTGCACAGCACCACCTGGTGAGGCACAGCACGCATTACACACAAACACACACAAGGCACTATATCCCCCTTTTGTTTATATTGTTCTTTTGATAAACAGGAAATAGAGAATTTCATCCTTTTTTGTGTGTGTGAACAAAACTCAGGACAGTCCTGATCCCTGAGTCCTTTAATAGTTGCTTTCTGCTGTTGAATCTGACATTTATTATTATTAAGGTAAATTTTTTACATAAGAATACAGCTGCATTATGCATTCTTTGGCAACAGCAACATAGCTAGCTCTTCATCTTCATCAAATGAAGGTAAGACACACTAATAGACACTGATTGAGATTATATTAAGTTCTGGACCTTGGAAAAGGTGCAATGTGCAACTTCTTGCATGAACAAACTCCAGCAAAAACAATCTAGTGGACAGTTTGTCACGTTGTTTCACCTTGTTGTTGTTTGTCATTAAATGATGTGGTAACCATAACCACAGATATAACAATAGTAATTAGCATTATCTTAGAGATTACTGTAATTTATCATGAGACCACTTTGACTGGTGGAGACTTCAGATTTAATGATGCATTGAATTTATTTTCTGCTTAACAAAACCTCTCATCCAGAGAGTTTTACAGAGAGAAGTTAAGTGGCCCACGACGAGTCCAAAATATCTCCATCCTTGACTCATTTATCTCCGGTCTCAGTGGCTCCTGCTCCATCAGGACAGTGACAGCAGATTGACTACAAGTCTATGTTTAGCACAACAGAGAATATGGGACAGGTTACATCTAAGGCCTTCCTATCGATAGACATGAGAGGAGGAGGAACGGGGGGGGGGGGGGGGGGGGGGGGGGCAGAGAAAAGAAAACAGAGGTCGATGTGGCTCGGGAACCAAAGAGCTTCCTATTGATCTGTTGAATGTTTCTTTTAAAGTCATATCAACAGCAATTATCTTGATATCATATCAGCTACTCTCAGTATGTGCTGGAAACTAATTCTTTCCAAAAGAAGATAGTGAGATACTAGAACAGCCCGTTTTAATGTTGGACATGTTCTCATCTTAAATTTTTTTTTTAATAAATGATTTCGATTTAAATGATCAGATTCTCCATGTGTTTTAAATGTGAAGCTGCATTTCATTTTACAAATGATGTTTCTTGTTCATTTATGAAATCTAAAAACATCAGAATACTGGAAATAAATTATGAGGGGAAAAAAGAAAACAGTGATGCTGAAACGAGTGGTCAATTAATTAACTAGGTGATCACAGAAAATTAATTAACAACAGTTCTGATAATCACGCAAACATTAGCTTTTAAAATGAGGATTTGCTGCTTTTCTCTGTTTAGATCAATGTAAATGTAATATTCTTGGTACGGCCAAAACAAGCAATTTGAAGACACTTTTGGCTCAGGTGATTTTTCAAAAATTGTGGACAGTTTTTTTAAAAGGGATTGATAAAAAAAAAAAAAGACTGATTAATAAAATAAAGGTTATTTGCTACCCTAGGTAGAAGCATAGTGGAAATAATAACACAGCTCCCATTTGTCCCTCCCTGCACTGTAGCAGTGGTTCTGGGATGATGATGACCTGGACAGCACTGTAAGGTCACTCTGGGTAATGTGCGCGACCTGCTGAACTGATCAGTCTAGACGCAGGCTCAGGTTACCTTGCTGTCTGTTTTGTAGCAGTTATCCTGGACGCTCATCTTGATGAACTTGCCATCGATTCCCTGGAAGACGTAGAGGATGTCCCGCACCAGCGCTGCCTCGCTCACCTCTCCTGCACCGACATAGGACAGAGAAGTTATTGTACGTTAAGAACACAGGGAATGCTCTCAGTTTTAAATGAAAGCAGAAGTTTAGCAGAAGTTTAGGCTATGATCTGCATTTCTCTGAAAAATAAATCACGTCATCAACATGGAAAAAGGAAAAAGGTTCTGAAGAATCAGGACCTTTTTTGGCCGGAAATTATGTTGGTCTGCATACAGGCATAAAGTCTCTCACCGTCTCTGCGAGGATGGACCACTCTGGTGGAGAGAGCTGGAGGTCCAACGGGGGGTCGAGAGGGGAGCGGGCCCAGAGCAGAGGAAGGGGAGCAGCTTACAGGAAGAGCCCAGGCTAGCCGGGAGCCCAGAGGCTGACCGCCTCCTGCTGCAGACTGAAGGGGTTGACTGAAACACACACACACATTTACTGTTGCTCTGAGGGTCTAAAATGTTGCACTGAAATGTCCTTTTACTAACAACTGGATATGATATGAATACATTAAGCAGTTTCTTTGCTTTGTATGAACAATTCTACATTTTAGTATAAATAATTACAGTTTCATGCTAGGGCTGGGCTTTATGGCCAAAAATGTTATCACGATGAAAATAATTAATATCATTCGATATCGATAATTATCATGATAAATGTCAAATCATTATTTCTTTCAAGTTTAAAGATAATTTTTTCAACTAATATGCGTGAGTAAAATTAGGTGAAATCTTTTTTTCAGTCCCCTTTTCTCAACTAAATAAATATCTTAATAAAAACTAAGTGCTAATTCATTTGTGATTCAAATTAATTAAATCAAACATTTATTGAACATTTGTTATATTGAAAGTGAGAAAAATTATATTGCAATAATTATCATTATTGTTTTATTGCTCAGCCCTATTTCATGGTCAAAATCCTTGAGGTCAAACTTCTGAAATTACTCTTTTTTTTTTTTTTGTTATTATTCAAAGAAAGTGCCGATGTGCCAACGCACAACATAAAAGCACTTTCTCCAGATTCAAGGCTACCGACACACAAAACCTTCTTCTGTTAGACAATGCACTCCGAACAGCAAATAAACTCAGTTAAAAAAACCAACATTTTGAATAATTAAAGCACAACTACTGTGTGTTTCCCAGATTATAAGTTATATTGGAATGCTGTGAGACCTTTTTTCCATGTTTGAGTGAGTGAGGATTTATCCTTTCACAACTAAAATGTGAACCCAGACAGCTCAATGATAATTTGTAACTGAAGGACTCCTGCATTATTAATAAGGATATGTGGAATTAAATGGCCTTCTGATGCCTCATAAAACAGATTTATCAGAGGTCGAGCTGAGAGGCAAGCTCATCTTCTGGTGCTAATTGATGCTTCCTTTATCTGGAGTGTTTTTACAGGAAGAGCCTGATCAGATAAATAACCCTCTCCTCCCCAGAGCCTTTCAGGTGAAACTGCCAAAACACGGCTGACAAGTGTGACTGAAGTAATGAAGTGTGAGCCATTTAAATTTTATTATTAAATGAATCAGACTGTGTCAGATAGGTGTCAATTGCATTAGTAACTATATTGTAGGGTGTTCATGTTATTTTGACCACCTTCATACAGTATGTGGCATAATGTTGGCTTGTGGATCAAAGTGGTGTTTAAGTGCATTTAGAGTTGAATAAAGTCTACCCATTAAGATCCATTTAAATTGCCTGCACAGTGTGAGCCAAAGTATCCGCTGTACATCTACTGTACTGATCGACAACATTGCTGCTGAGAAGTTAAAATTTTTTTTCTTTTAAAAGATACAAAAGTGTGTTTTCAACGGGTTTGTTTGTGCAGGTATCTGGTATGAAAATGCTCACCCGGCCAGCAGCGACTGCGGAGTTGCCGTGGGCCCGTTCAGTGTGTAGACTCCCAGGCTTGAGATGCCACTGGTCCCCACGCTGGCTGACAGACCCGCAGTCCTCTCCCCATAGCCCAGGGCCAGGCTCTGGGGCCGGGTGCAGTAGAACGGGGTGGAGTGGGCGTCCCTGGGGAGGGCCTGGGCAAAGAGTGCCCCATAGTTTCCAACCTGGGAAGGACAGGGACATGGTGAGAGGGTTATTATTATACTATTAGTACTATAAAACTCATACAGGACATGAGAGAGGAAAGACAAGACTTTCAGACTTTGTGCATGTGTGTGTGTGTGTGTGTGTGTGTGTCTCCCTCACCCTACTGGACGGTTTGCGGGGATCTTCAGAGAGGCTGAGCAGCAAGTAGAGAACAGACCAGCGATGCTTCAGAACACACTGTCAAACAGGAAACACACCACGGAAACATAAAGTCAGCAAAACATCGTCATCTTCAGTTAGGGACATGGCAGAAAATATCCTTAATTAATATTGAATGTTATATATATAATTATTACTATGTAAATAATGTGACAAAAACTACACTGTCCGTCCAAATGAAAACCATATTTAATTGTCCCGTTTTAGTTCAGGCAGGAATGCAGTCGTGAAAGAAACACAAACACCAACCTGTGTCTGAAGTTTTCTGTGCAGCTCAGAGAACAGAGCAGCGTCTGCTTCTCTCCTCTGCTTCAGCACTGCGACAGCATGGAAACAAAATCAGTCAGTCGGGATGTTTGGATGTCCAAACGACAGTAGGGAAGCTTCTGAAAGTTTCCCACAGTAATATCTCACTTCAACAGATCCTGTCATTCCCTGCAGGATTTGCACAGGTTTTTAAAATACGATAAAGTTTTGTTTTTTGCATCACGTGTGGTTTACAACTACATAAAGAAAGAAACCTTTTGCCTCATACATTCCATTAGGGATTTAAACATGGCTAACTTAAAGTGCAGAGTAAGGCAAAAGAAAGAAGGAAATTAATTGCTGAGGAACATGGGGTCCTGTGTTTAGAAAAGCAGACAGGATGCACTGGGCACAGCTCGCTCTGTTCTGCAGCATAAAGAAACCTGTCATCACACTGTGAATAAAAGAAGGGCTCTCATGTCTCATATTCACAAGACGTTCATCAATTTAAGAGCCTTTCAGACCTGAACAAACTCAGGAATCCCTGTCTACATTTAAAAAAGAAGGGAAGGGATGACAGAAACTAACTTTTGACAGAACAAAAATTTCCGCTCAGCCCTGCATTAACATCTAGCTCTGGTATGACATGCCACAGTCTTCTGCAGATGGTTCTGTTGGTATTACTGGGATAAATTATTTTATATGAGTGAACTCGTGATTCTAGTTAAACTAAGTATTTGATTTAATCACATCAGGACTCACTATATAAATCCACAGGAACAACCAGGAACATAATTTTTTTTTTTCAGCAACTCCATAACCACAAAAAATATTTACTAAATACTCCGGAAGACCGGAGATAATATGCAGCAAGTGTTTCGGTTTTATTTTCTGCATCAAAGCTCAGATTGATGTTCTGCCACTAATGGTGTTACATTGGCTACTATGAAAATCCACTGCGATTTGCTTTTTATGGTGCAACAAGGAGTTTGGACTTTGTGGAGGGGCTCTAACATAAAAGGTGACACATGGAGCTCCTATACAAAACCAGCTGACAGATTTGGCTGGTGGATGGTACTGCAGGTTAATGATGGAAATTAGTTCCTCACATCTGTTACAGTAGTCCTGTAACATATAGTACACGTGTTTCGTCATAGGGAGATAGAGGCACTTACATTCTTTCCTGATCTTCTCTGACACCAGGAACTCGTCTCGTTCAATACTGGGGGCGTAGTTACTGCCAATGACTCGCACTGCGTACTGGAACTGGGGGGCAACTTCAGCTGGAGAAATAAATAAGACGCAATGACTAAAGGTAAATTAGAAGCACTTTCAAATAATGTAGAAATCATCAACAGCTGTGACCAGAAGTTTAGGGGGGGGGGTTACCCAACATTTTCCCATTCATGTCGCTTCAAAAAGTTACAACACTTTCAACTTAAGATACTAGGATGCTGGAGAGAATGTGCTAACTTATTGCTTTGAAAATGGTTGTGACTAATGGGATCAAATTAACGTTACTGTGTCTAACACTCTGACTTTGGATTAAAAAACTGCAGCCCACATTTTTGTCAACACTGCCAAACTGCGAAGCTTTGGCGTCTTTGATCACGGGGTAATAGCTGCAATCGGGTCAAAGTGACTGAAAAATACAGGACACGTTGATATTCTTACGCCTATGTCGCTATCTCTGATCAAACATGCTAACCTCCCTCTCAGATGGCAGCGTCCAACAGGGGCCTGCAGCTAGCAAGACACAAGTGCATTCAATCACCATGCAAACAGTGTGTGGGTCAGCGTGATAGCTAACAAGCTAATAGACTGAAGCTTTATCATATCAAAGCTAACGGTTTAGTACAGTAACAGCTGGAGGTACAACGAAGCTGTTAAGCGGGATGTGCAGTGTATGAGTAAGCCCATTGGCTGACAGCTACGCGGACCTAGCTCCGCTACGTGCCGTTGTCCAACACAGCTAAATGATATCAAAATCAATTTAATCAGTCTAAGATTCAAGTGTGTGCTTGTAAACTCACAAGGCAGATTATCAAATGAATAATACGCTCTGTTTAATTCGGCATATGTTCAAAAGACCAAGCAACTTTAATACCAGTAAAATTTCAACCTTTTCCTACAACTTCCCGTCTAAAATAACCCACCGGGTTCAGTCGGCGCAACAGAGTAAATAGTTTCATTTATACCAAAGTGTGTACTTTCTGGTATGAAAATGATAGCCGAATTTGCCAGTAGATGATACAGATTCAGCCGATGCCTTTACTTGATGTGTAACACATGTACGATTTGCATTTGGAAAAGCAAAGTTAATGAGCCGAATTTTTGAATGAGGTTCGCTGTGACATCTCCTCTTGCACATAATGCTACCCGTACTAGCGCGTAACATGCTACTGTTCACTGATGTACCTTCGCTTTTCCCCGTGATTCTGCAGCAGAGGCTCTGGAGAAGCACGTTGGGTGATTTCTGATCCAGGGTCGCCATACTGTTGTGGTTATCTTTGCGCGCGTTGCCCGATAACTGAATAAATGCCACTGTATGATTCTGAACTAACTCCAGTCTCCCACTACGAACAACGCCATTTTCACAGGTTAAGTCAAGCTGGCAGGACGCAGGAAGAATATGACCGCAACTAGCGCCACATTTCCGCCAAAGTAAGAGCATTTCATTTCTCACTCTGTAACAGCCTGCACCACTATCAGAAATTTCTTTCCAAATTGTATATTCTTCTTTCTGAAAAAAGTATTCTGAAGGAATCACAGCTATACAACATAGCAACAACATCCACCTAACTGATTATTGTCTGTCTCCAATCAATAGAAAAACCACTGGCATTTGGAAGGTAATGGAGGACAGGCTACAGAAATAAGACAAAGGTATTACTTTTAAAATATAGCCTGTTTATACATGTGTATACAGATCATATAAGAAGAAATTAAAAAAAAAAAATCTTAATGAAAACTGATTGATGTAGAGTATGTACCTGTGTGTGCACTGGTCACCTCCTGTAAACCAGCAGCATTCACAATGTAATTTAAATGGATACTCTCCCGTTCTAAGAGCTATTGCAGGTTAATTACACATTTGGTGTGACGACGTGTGTAGTTGTGACACCACGATGGTGGAACGAGCTACCACAGGCCATCAGAGCAGGGGCGTCCCTCTCTAACTTCAAGAAGCTCTTGAAAACTCATCTCTTCCAACAACACTTTCTCTTTTAACACATCTAACTCCTAACCGCTAACATTCAATTCCTGTGCTCTTCTTCTTCTATCCTCTTACAATTCTCTTGTATTGATTGCACTTTTTTGTTAACTCATAGCCTACTTCCTTCCCTAGGTATCATCAATGGGGTAACCATTGATGCGATATGTGCTAGTAATTCTTACTAGAATTTATTAGTGCTCTTACTAGTGTGTATTGTCAGTTGTAGATCTCATGCTGTATTTGATGCTCTGTTGATGCTTGTATGTTGTTCCTCAAATGTAAGTCACTTTGGATAAAAGCGGCTGCTAAATGAGTAAATGTAAATGTAGTCTACTTGGCAAGGCTGTAAATATAAATAAAATGCAATCAACTATTATACATCAAAATAATCAAGTAAATGTATGGCTTACATGAAATACACTAAGGTTTAAATGTTAACCTTAAGGGTTTTATTTTGATGGTTATAACCAGATATGGTGGTTGTTATTGTTGTAACTTAGCTGCTGGTGTTTCAACTGAACCCGCCGAAAAGCGTCTCCAGGAAACAGAGGACGGACAAATGAATGAAAACATTTCCCTCCGGAAACAGAGAACCGTGGATTGTAGTTCTGACCCGTTTGACCTCCCCAAACAGTCAACAGTTACAAAACGATGCCTTAATAATACAGCCGTTACTTTTATTTTCATCTTGCGGCAATAATTTATAAAATATCTCTAGAAGTAAGAAAAGTATTTAATTGTACTGAAGAAGTGGATATCGGATCAGAATCAGAAAGAGCTTTATAGCCAAGCAGTATTTTACATGTATGAGGGATTTGCTTTGGTGTTTAGGTGCTAGACATAGATATAAATATACAATTTACATAAATAGGTTTAAAATATATATAAATATGGAATAAATAGATGCAAGTTATAAAATAATTATCAAATTAAGTGTAAAAGAAAAAGCTAAACAATGTGGCAGTTATTTATATGTGCATTTCTCTGGATTTGTGTAAACATAAACATATTACAGGGGGAGAGGATTTGTATGAATATATAAATATAAAACTGACACAATATAAAAGAATAATAAGGAATAGTGAAAGGTGGCAGTTTGTGCAGTGATAAAGTGTCAGAGGAAAAGTATTGTCTGTGTTTCTAATCTTTTTAAATTAAAATACAAGATGATGTTTAGTTTAAAAACTATATAGGCTATTGGAACTTATTCATGTGGGAGGAAAACAGATTTGTATGAGAATTAGATTATCATTATTATTATTTCAGCACAATGTGGCTGGACAGCACCACTTGATTGTCAGGGTGTCCCCAACCTGGACACACACACAAAACAAATTATGTAGCCTAAATGTTACGCACTGTTATAGTTGCGTTATTGCTCGGCCTCGTTACAGTTAGGCATACTGTTGATTTTGTCTTTGGTGCGCCATCACGCCACGAGCAAACAAATCAATGACCTTATTAACTGCAATGTCCAATCAATTACACACCAGAAACATTAGAGCGCATGCGCTCACCTCCAGTCAGAGCCACCACCTGGCTCCTCGTGACGTACATGAGAGAAAAGCTCCTTTTTGCCGCGGCGCAAGACAAGAAGATTATTAGTATACGCGCAGGGCAGGAGACTAAGCGCGAGGAAGGCGGAGAGACTTAATACTAGTTTTCGTCCTGGTCGGTGGATCACCCCACTTGTCCGTGCGCGTGTGAACTGTCCTGAAACTGAATGAAAGCCGCACAGACAGCCGCTCTTCCTGCTCCTAGTGACAGGCTCTCGTAGGTGAGCAGCCTGCAGGTTCACAGTTATTTTAAGCAGCTTTGCCGGAGCCTTTCTTTTTTAATTCAGGAAGAAGAGAAGGGAGTGAAAGTCATGGGCAGAGGTGGAGAATTGAAAAGAAGTTAGCGCTACAGGAAAATAAGCTTTGGAAAAAACAGACTGACAAAGAAGAAGTGTCCCGGAGAGGGAAGAGGAACAGGATGGGTATGGATTTCAGCACCCTTCGGACCCTCATCAGCAGATATGTAAGTTTTTACAGCGCTTACGCCCTCCGTGTGTGCGCTCAGTTATGTCTCATGCTGGCCGCTTGTTCTCTACAGACCAAAGCTCTTTACAACATCCGAAGATAAACCGAAAACGTGCGCGCTTTTATCACTCTCGGTTTCAAATTCTTTCGAAGCGGCTCCTGGTCCGGATTAAGTTTCACTCGCGGAAGGGAGTGGAAAGAAGCTCAACAGTCTGCCGCCATAAAAACACCACAATGACTCATTTTATAGAGTTATATGTTTGTCTTGAAACGTGTTTATTTCCACATAAAATAATATCTGTTTGAATATGACACTTAAAGGATCGGATGTCAGTATGGTGGATGTGCTGTTTGGTGAAGTATTTATATTTAATTAAGGAGTGACATGTCTTGAGAAAAGATCAGACAAAAGCACAAAATTAGTCAATTATTATATGGCATCTGAAGACATTTAAACTCTTGTAGCACATTCTGCTCAAACACACTAGCACTCACTTTCAGTCAACAACTCAGAGGCACTTCAGTAAGAAAAAAAGGTGGAGTCACCTGTCTTTATTGTAAGAGTAAATCCTCAGCACAGAACATGTCAAGAGATGCAGACAGACAGCAATTATCATTAATCTTAATCTAATCTTAAACATATTGACAAATTATAATAATCTCTAAATGAAATCTTGTTTTTGAAAAAAGAAATCAATGCAGTTTTTGAGCAAAGCCAGTGGCAGCTTATTTCACATAGTTTTAACTTGTTTTGCATCAGATAAAATTTCTTTGATGGATTTTACTTTTTTGTTGTGTACAATTGTTCAACTCAACTAATTTGCTTTTCACTCTAATTTATTATGCAACTTCCAACAAGACCACAAATGGAACAGCCATTCACATCAATTATGTAATCCAGTTGTTCTCCCCCCAGCTAGTCAAATCGATGGGCAGCAGTGGAGTGTCCGGCCTATATGGCTGTGCATTGCATTAGGCTCCACAGTAATGTGTTTGACAATAACCCAGACAGGGCAAGCCCCGCTCACACGAGAGCCAGCAAGGTTTAAACCCTGGCTCCATGCTCAGCTGAGGCTTAGACACGGCCTCCCAGCTGTTGCAAATGTCTGATTAAATCAAATCCCTGCTGTGCGGAGGATGAAATGGAGCCTTATAGTGAGAAACGTGCAGAGACAAGTCCTGTGACTTGTAGGATGCGGGATGCTGATGAGGTCTGCTGCTCCAAATGATCTGGATAACTGTTTTAGACAAATGGGTTTGGGTTAAATTGATTGTATTGCAGCTACAGAAACCGGATGCAAAGAGACTGCTGAGCGCTTAAGATAAGGAACATCTATCTGGTTGTCAATACTGGGCCTTTATGAAAAATCAGTCAGTACTGGGAGCCAGCGGTATGATGGAGGGTTCTCTCTCTGACCACAACTGTAAAATGAAACTAATTATAAATTCAGTCTTTATTCAAAAGTCTAACATATCTATTTGCTTTGCACTAAAGAAAGTTCATGTGAAATGTCAGCGATTTCTTTTCTTTTTTTAAGGGATAAAAGGAAAAGAAAAATGCTTCCAACATCTCAGCATGTGAGAGTTTGTTTCATGAAGTTCATACCAATATTCCATGTGACTTTTTTTGTGTTTTAGTTTAAAATTTATTTTTCCCAATGCACTATTTCTTACCTTTATAACTACATAATAAGAAATCGAGCAGCATGTCAAAAGGGATTGTTATTTAAAGGAATACAGTAATTAAAAGTGATAATTTTATTTAGTTTTCATTAATGTAATTTCCCCTTTATAACAGATTTAAAATGTAGAACTCGTCCCAAATAAGTGTTGCAAAATCTTTACGATGCAGCAAAATATATCACTTTGGAACCAAATAATATGGACCAGAACTTCCCCCAGTATCCACAAATGCAATGCATTCTTCAGTATTTCTCCCTCTGTAGGAGCATTCTAAGCATTGGTGGTATGCGCTTATGTATTTTGCGGCTTTTGTCCAGGAACCAGTCTGATCTATGGGACAGCCGTTATGCTTTGGGAATGTTGAGATTCGTCTGTTATCAGTTAACAGACTGTAAACAGATGTAACTGTAAATATGTGTCTTCACCGTCCAACTATCCTGAAAATGAAGAAAACACATCCATTTAACGGCCTAGATTAGCTCTGTCATGTGATGCAAACTGCAGACTCCTCTATCAGGGCTATCATCATAAACCAGCAGGGAGTGTCCCTCTGTTTGACTGCTATCTGATGTGATCTGTCATTATAACGCCTGTGATAATGGTGATACATAGATTGTAGTTTATCATCTATTGCATGCTGAAGCATTTTACCCATGACTGAAATCTGTATTGTTTCTATTGCGACATTCAATTTCACACAGTGGAGAGTTTTAGTCTCAAGTAATAATCTACATATTTTCACCAAGAACATTTTAATCCAAATTTAAAAGCCCGTAGGAAAGATTTTAGCACTTTATTTTCAAAGTAAAAGCTCCTTTTCATTGCACAAATATAATTAAAGACACAACTAACATTTCACTGGATATTGTTGCAGTGACTTGTCTTACTAAGTTTAGCTGAGGCCACTTTGTACTGCTTGGATACCAGTTGTACTGTTCCCGGGTTATTTGGTCTTGCTGGCTGCCTTCTCTGATGAGGTAAAAGGGTTGAGGATGTTATGCAAGCCTATAGCTTTCTTTGTAAGTGTTACATGTAGAGTTGTAGTCTTTGTGGCTGTCGCTCCTGTCCAGGCTGAGTGAGAACAAAATGTAATCACAGTGACATGCAGGAGCACTGAGACCCATTGTACTTGTACTCGCTTCACTTCTTTTGTTCTCAGGGTAAAACTCTGTTTTAAAAGTACCATTTTTTTGTTTTAAATTGTCCAATTGCATGTTCGCTCGCGTGTCCTGTCTGCTTTACTAAGCATTGTTTGACATCATAGTCCTTTTTTAATGGTTAATTTCCTGTTTTGTTTGTATTTTGCTTTTTGAAATCTATGTCGAATCCAAAGAAATTGCACTTTTCTCAGCAGTTTTTCTTTATTTTGTTTTTTAAAATATTTTTGTTGTAATCGATTCTCTACTTCAGCGATTCTTCATCAACTAAATAAGTAAGAAGAATGGCCTTAGTACTTGTATTAATAAGTCATGTGTGATATTGAAATGTTCTTAATTATTTATTTAATGCATAATAAACAGATGCAGTACTAGTTTTCAGCTGTGAATGAAACAAATGAGAGATGTCATGTTAATGTAGAGGTGAGTTGGAAGCAGCTGGGCAGCCTTCCTCTGCTGGTGACTAATCTTGCTTCCAGGACACGAAGTGTGTGTGTGTGTCTCTCTCTCTCTCTCTCTCTGGCTCCCTGCCTTCACATACTGGATTAAAGGGTTACTGGTGTTCACTAAACCTTCACCCAGTTAATCCATTTTACAGCTATACTTTCAAATCTAAGCCAATCACTGATCTCCTACTGCTTATTTTGCACCTGCTGTATTTTCTAATGAAGTTTTCCTTCAGTTTCAACACAGCAGCAGGCTGTAGCATCGCGCAACTGATCTGTGCATATGAGGCAAGCGTAACTGTAGAGTAAGTGAGTGGAGGCTGATGATCATATTGTTGTCTCTGTTACTTCATGCAGGCTAGTAAGTGGGGAGGTGGAATATTGTAGTAGCCAGGCGACTCAGAGGGCAGCGGATCACATGAACGACTTGGCTCTGCCGAGTTGTCAATAATTCATAAGCAGTCTGGCTGACAATGTAGGCTGACATTTGTGTAGCTTGTTGTGGAGTCTTCCACAGCGGGGCTGCTCAGCGTGTGGTGCAGGCACACCTGGGGGTGCTTGAGGGGATCCCACGGGGTCCCTAGCAAAATGAGGAACAGAAAAATGGCTTTAACATGTTCTTGTGTTTTATGCTACTACAGACAGCACAAGTACTTCTAAATACAGCGTAGACTCGTTTTACAAACAAGGATTTGGTGGCCTTTCTGATGCCCCTGTCCCCCCAAATTACCACAGTTTTCATACAGCAAATCAAAGGTTGCCATCCATCCATCCATTGTCAACCGCTTATCCTGCGTACAGGGTCGCAGGGGGGCTGGAGCTAATCCCAGCTGACATCGGGCGCAAGGCGGGGTACACCCTGGACAGGTCAAATCAAAGGTTGTCAAGAGTTAATTATAACTTTTATAACTATTATGAAATCTTCAAATATTTCCCATTTTCCTGAAGACAGCTACTACTGTATCAGAATAAATTTTGGTTATTTTAATGGACCCATTAATTGTTTTTCAAATTGAATTAATCACAGCTGGAACACAAACCACAAAATTTAAATGTGTGTTTCTGCTAATGATGCTCAAATTACAGCAGTTTTGGTAAATGTTGATATATGCATGGCTTGATGTGTGTTTCAGAAGTTTCTGAATCAGGGTACTATTCAAGACTCAGGAAAGGTAGTCTTTTATTTTGAATGGTGGCCGTGTTGTTGTATAATGGCTTTTGAAGCATGCTCATGTGTATGCCAGCAGCAGCAGGTTTCCTCTCAGCCTCATGCTAATAATTTATCACCAGCCCGGCCATACTGTCCGCGATCCACAAAATGCAGTTAACCTTTTTACCTAAAGGATTTACTGGCTCTCGCTAAGCCACTCGGTCTTGGGATTGCTTCACTGCTTGACTGGCTGCTGCTGATTTACATTTAGCAGTCCCTTCTATTTGTTACATGAAGACACAACACATGTCATAGTAAAAGTAACTAAATCAACTAATGAAACAGAAACAAAAGTGAGGATGTGCAAGAATAACAAAGCGTTAACACTAACATTGGAGAAGAAGCACAGTCCTAAACTCAAGACAATTATTCTCCCTCAGTGTCATCTTGTGATGGGTGTCATGATGAGAGATGGGCTCTGGTCACCTGTGTGAATCCCTGGGCTCACTATCAAAACTTGGTGGAAGTAAATTGTTTATTAATTGACTTCAAAGGAAGATAA